ACAAATATTGTAGGAGGGGTATTACATTTTGCATATCAATGAGGCTACAATTAGCCACTTGTACAACTTTAGTCATTGTCTATTTAAAGGTTCCGCTTATAAGTTATCTACTAATTGCTATATCTAAAACCCACCTGTGGGTTCCTTATTTAAAGTTTTTGATTTTCAATGTTTTTTCTGTAGTACCAACTTAATTTTTTAATAACAGACCTTAGGGCTACTTTACTCTCAACGCAAACTCTACCAAATAGAAGTAGATCTCATGACTACACCTATTTGAATTTATAGTGCCAGAGGTGATTCCATATTAGGTAAAGCCAATCCTTTCCACAAACATTGATGACATTTTCTACATTTTTTACTATAATAGTGCCCATGCTCTGCCATACCAGTTTCCTTCTGAAAATTCTTTAGATCAAATATGTATCTTTACTTGAACTTTTAATTATAGGCTTCATTTTTGGTTATAGAATATTTTTACCTCCAGCCAAACTCGAACAGTTGACCTTGTCTGTGAGGTGATAAAAGCTTAACAAGTAAGCTATAGGACCCAACTTCTTTATAATTCTCTTATTACTTAATAAAGTTTTTACTTTAGCATTTCAAAAAAAAAATTTAACTATTTATAAAAAAAATATATACTTTAAAATTTTTTGAGTTTCAAAATTTCAAAATTTAAATTTATAGCTAATAATTTATTTTTTTTGTAATTATAAAAATATGTAAAAATACAATATAATATTTCAATTAATTATTTGTAATATTTAGCTAGTAATAATATTTTTTAACTCTAATGCTACTAAAAAATAAAACTTATATATACAAAAAAATCTTTAAATTAAGAAATACATTCAAAAAACTTATAGTTATATGTTATAACAAAAATAAAGTAAACATAAAAGTTTGCTTATTTGATGTTTAATTTTTATCAATAACTTTGCTAACTTTTTAGTTCTAATTTAGAAAGTTGCTTTTATTTGAGTTATGTATATTTAATAGCAGTGTTATCAGTATAAAAAAAACTTGCATCTAAAAATATTGTAATACAAACTATATATATAAAAAATTAGAAATCTGATATATAATTATAATTTTTAAAAAAACTTAAAATACCTATGCTGATTAATAAAATTTATTTGTTTTGAATAATACTATAATTTTTATTATACAAATATGTACTGTAATATTTAAATTCATATGCATAAAAAAATAGAAGATGTAACAATGTAAGCTGCATGTTTTTTTTTCTATTATATTAAATTTATTTATTTTTATGTAATATAACTTTTAGATTATTACTAATATAAACAATTTTTTCAATTATATAATAATAATTGACTATATACAATTAATAAGTATAATTAAAAAATCTTATTAAAATATATAAAATACTTTATTATAATGCTTACCTTCTGTAATTTGTATCTAGAATACTGTAGTTAGTAATTTACAGTATATGTTATACTAGCTTTTTTTCTTATTTATATTATATATAGTATATATGATTAATTATACTTTACATAGTCCAAGGTCTGCAAGATATTCACTAATGATCTGCAGTGGCTTAGCCAATTTATAGCAATTTTTATAGTATTTTATATGCTTTAAAGTACTTTTTATTCCCGTGATTTTCTGAAACCTATCAAATTAATTCGTTGAAAAAAAATATAGTGAAAGTTCTTCATATTGCCTGTCTTTATAAAATTAATCAAAAATAATCACAATAATTAAAAGGTTTTATTAGAGATGAAGTTTATAAGATTTAAGGTAGATATACCTATAATTCGAAGAAACAAAAAAAAATAACAAAGAAACTAAATCTTGAAACTACAAAAATGAGCTCAAACAGTGTTTACACGTAAAGCAGAATAAAACGATAAATTAACCGGCTTTTATATTTTTCAAAACTAATATAATAACTTTGCTATTATTTTGTAAGTTAAATTTACTAACTACAGTTTTGAAATATGAAATAGAACGATTTAGAAACGATTTAGAAATTGTTTAGAACCGATTTAAAATCAATTTTGAAATTATTTAGAAATCATTTAGAGAATATATTTATCATATCTATGTATAAAAACGAATTTTTATTAAGAGATATATAGACAAATAGAACATTTAATATCTTATAATATTATGGGTAATATATGATGGTTTCATACCATTAGATTCGTCTCGATGAAACGAATCTAATGGTATAAAAATCATCAAATTCTAGCCACAAGGAAAAAATCACATGTGTAGATTAAACTGGAAGTGAAGCGACGGGTAACACCTAGTCAGTGATTAAAAAGTGTCAGTAACTTCGTACCAGTTTTGGTGACGTAGATCCTCTGAACACGAATCAGACTTCAAGATTAGGTTCAACGTAGCATGATCGGGAAGATTCAAAACAAACGTCTGTTCTGATAAAAATCGCTCATAACTCAAAAATCAGCATAAGAAACCACTTAGTGTTCTAGCAAAAAGTTTTCATTGGGCAATTTTAATATATAAACTACCCTCTCTAATTTCTAGCCCTGACCCTGACGCTAAACGAATTTTAAAAATTTTGTCGGCACCACAAACCTGGGCATATTATCCAAGTGCCTTAGTATCTATATCAGGGACAGAAGTTAGTGTAATATATGAAAAAAATCGCTTAAGAAAAAAACCCCTATTTTAGATCACAAAAGGTAGTTTCTTATACAAAATATCGATACAACTGATATCTATAATTAGTTACATCACGGATCGGCACTACTAACTATTTTTCCTCGTCGAGGGAAAGTGCACTTATGGAGGTGTGCACTTATAGAGGTGTATTCTAGCTGCAATATATTGTGGAATTTAAATTTTGGTCAAACAATGTCACTTAGGGAGGTAAAATTGCATTAATTGACGGTGCACTTATGGAGGGTTGACTGTACTTTTAAAATATTTTCACAGAACACTGCGTAATTGGATATCACAATCTTGTATTAGATGATTCAGAATTAATGATCAGATTTCTGATTTCGAATAAAATTATTAACATATTAGAGTTAACAATTAAGTGATGCATTTTGAAATTAAATGAGAGGTCGAAAAATCTTAAAATCGGAAAATGAAATGGGAGTATTTGGAGATCCCATTTAACGAAATAAATAGACTTTTCAACGACAAAAACCATTTCAAATTTATCGGAAAATGAAATAAAGTTGATACATTGCCCATTTGAAAATAAATACGTCATCTATTTCTGTCAAAATTAGAATCCCGCACGTTATCTTTGAAACCAAGGAATTACTTATTACGTAAAAAGTTAAATCACACTATGCGACAATTTAGCATCTTATTAATTGTAAGTAAATATTATTAGTAAATTGTCGCACAATGTGATTTGATTTTTTACGTAATAAGTAATTACCTTGCCCATCTCTAATTGAAACCCCTATTTGTTTGAAATAAGCGATCTTATAAAGTTCTAAATCGGGGAATTAAGGGATCTCCGATTAATTATATAACGATAAACTTCAGTGATGTTGATTAATCGGAGAATCTTTGATCGACATTTTCCTAGACCAGGTCTCATATATGATAATAACACCAAAAAAATATATTCATATTCATTCACTGATCTCAGAATTTCGAATAGAAATAGGAAGTTTTAAACTCCGATTAAATTAATCCCTGAATCATCCACACTATTATATAGATTAATTTATATATGCGTTATGATATTTTCACATAATAATTAAAAAATTAAATTTAAAAAATAAACTTCCGGACGTCTCATTGTAAAACATGTTGCAATAGGACGTACTCCGTTACGTAAATAATTCTGACCCAGTGTTGGCAATTTTGCGGCCAACCATTTTTTTTGGCCTTTGACCAGTCAAAATAGTCAACAGCCAAATGGCTAATAGCTAAATTTCGGCCAAAGGTTTTTAACTTGTACTAATATCGAGTTTGAACATCGATTTCGGATAACCCTATCAAGAATGCACCTATTCTTATTAAATACTTGTTAACTGGTTTTTATTATTTGGGTGGGTATATTCTTGATAGAATGTCCAAATCCGATATTAATCAATCGTATTACTAGCTTTTCTATTGAATATTAGCCATTTCAGGTAAATAATTTTTTTTGTCCAATTCGACCATTGGCCTAGTGTTCAGTGTTGGTAAGCATTTTGCCAATCGATTAGTTGACACTATAGTTGCAACCAGTCTAAAAGTTTATTAGCCAATCAAACTAAAGAATTCAATACGAATAGCGGAATTAAACTAGCTGATAAATCGATTAGTTGGAAAGTTGTCATCTAGTTGATTTTTCAACTAACGATTTGGATTACTCATTGACCGCAATCAGTGACTGACCAAATGGCCAAATGACAACACTAGCATATAGATAATTATATAATTTTGTTGTCAGCATTAACTTTCAACACTCTTCTACGCATTTAAAAAAGGTTAATAATAACGGCTACGTACGTGCTGTTATACTTTCTAAATTAGGTATTAATTCGATACCGATACGGTGCTCTGAAAGCTCGATTTTAGAGTTGATCATCGAGAAATCAAATATCCCAATTCGGAATATAGATGGGTCAATTTTATTGGTACATATTGATTTGTAATACAATGCCATGTATTAATGTATGATTGGCATGAAATTTAGGCTGTGCATTGTCACACGAATCAAGCTGTTTCAAAACAACCACTATAAATGAATTAAAATAATTAATAACAAAAGTACAATACTACGTATTTTTCGTTCGTAACTCTACTAACCCCCCACTATTACTATCATATTATCTCTGGCCATGACGCGGTTAACTATAGAGCCTCGATATATGATAGCCATCATCGTTCTGGCAGTATTTACATACACAAGTCTTTGGTTTTCATATATACTTCGACCAGTCCCGATTTACCATGATGTGAAAAAACATAATAAGCATTCAAACATCAGCCTCGGCTTTGATCATGTTTATGTTATCAGTTCTTCAACTCAAACGGAAAGATATGAAAGAATGAAGGATGCAGCAAATAGAATAAGCCTAGAGTTTGAATTCTTTCCTGCTATGTCTTCGGATGACAGCAAAGTTTTCGACGAATTCAAATTTGATGGTGAATTAGATCCATTACATAAGGCTTCATATATCACTCATTATAAAATTTATCAATCAATCGTCAATAATGAATATGAAGATGCATTAATTTTAGATGATAATTTAGACTTTGAACTTGAAATCTCATCAATAATGTCTAACATCCTTGAAAATTTACCCGCTGATTGGGAGCTTCTGCATCTCAGTTTTTGTAACAGTCAAGAAGGCTTATATAATAGGCCACTGTCAGATGTAAAAAAAATTTCACCAGACTATCAACTGTTTCGATCTGAAAAGACCTATTGTACAAATGCATATGCCGTTTCAGCCTCTGGTGCCTCAAAGTTATTAAAAACTCTTAAACCAACGAAGCTTTCGATTGAACTTGAACTGACTAACCTGATTCAATCAAAAGAAATTACCTCTTATACTATCTTACCACCTCCTATCGTTCAATGGCATTCTCATGGCAAAGGAAATTATGGTCCCCACACTTTAAAGAAATCTACCTTAAATTTAGTTAGCAAAAAATCAAAACTTTTGAATTCCACCCTCGGTTTTGATAATATTTATGTTACTAATGTTTCTGAACGACCAGGTAGACGTGAAAAATTAGAAAGTATAGCGAAAAAATTAAATTTAAGATTTGAATTTTTTCAAGCAATTTCTCAAACTAATTTCGATGAATTGAAAAACTTTAGTCCAAGTAGTGAATTAAAACCTCCTCAAAAAGCTCATTATTTAAGTCATTATAAGATTTATCAATCAATTGTTGATCATAGATATGATAGCGCATTAATTTTAGAAGATGATATCGATTTTGAACTTAATATCGTATCAATTATGACTGATACTCATCGTAATTTACCTGCTGATTGGGAAATCTTATATCTTGGTCATTGTAGTGAATTGGAAGGTGCAACTAATGAACTTTTATTGGATAGTAACGATATATCTGCTGAATTCAAATTATTTAAATCTAAGAGACCATATTGTACACATGCATATGCCGTTTCATATGTTGGTGCTCTCAAGATGTTACAAAAACTTGAAAAACCAACGAAATTTCCAATTGATATTGAATTGGTTCATATGGTTGAACAAGGAGTAATCAAATCATATACTATTGTACCGCCAGTTATTTCTCAATGGCGTATTTCTGAATCATCAGATATGTACCCTGGTAGAAAAACGTTGGATTTACTCTTTTTGAAAAATTCTACCTTGTATTCTCTTGGACTCACGCACGAATCAAATTCCACTCTTGGTTTTGGTCACATTTACGTTGTTAATCTTCCTAGTCGGCCAGATAGACGCGAAAAATTGGAAATTTTGGCGAATAAGTTTAATTTAAAATTCGACTTTGTCCCAGCTGTTTCTAAAGATAGTGAAGAGGCTTATGTTCCACCAGGAAGGTCAATTGGACCGACCCATAAAGCCTGTTATCTTAGTCATTATAAAATTTATAAATCGATCGATGAACACAAATATGAAAGTGCTTTAATCTTAGAAGATGACGTAGACCTAGAACTTAATATAGCATATATTATTACCAATGTACATAAAATTTTACCATCAGATTGGGATATCTTTTATCTTGGCTTTTGTAGTAATTGGGAAGGAGGCGGTGACCCTATAGAGGACAAAGATAATATCTCACCCACTCATAAGTTGTTTCATTCAAGGCACCCGTATTGTACACATGCTTACGCTCTTTCGCGTACTGGTATCCGTAAGCTATTAGAAAAACTCTCCGATGAGCCAGGTTCACCAATTGATCTTGAACTAATTGGCATGATTAGTGATAAAAAACTTATTTCATACACTGTAATGCCACCTCTATTCATACAATGGCGTTCTCCTCACAATCCATCAGATATCTCTCCTGGTTCAAGAGCTTTGGATTTTTATTTTTTGAAGACTTCCGCTTTACATTTTATCGGACTTCTTAGAGAATCAAATACTTCCCTTGGATTTAATCATATATACGCTATTAATCAACCAGATCGAAAAGATAGGCGTGGCAAATTGGATAGCCTATCAACTAGACTATATTTTGGTTTAGATATTGTTGATGCTGTTTCTGAAAATGATACTAAAAAACTTGATAAATTTAGTCCAAAGAGTCAACTGAAGCCGTCAGAAAGAGCAGCCTATATTGATCATTATAACATTTATAAATCAATTATTGATAGTAAATATGGTAGCGCATTGATTTTAGAAGATAATATAGACATTGAGCTTAATATCTCTCCGATTATGACTGATGTACATCAAAGTTTACCTTCTGATTGGGAAATGTTATATCTTGGACATTGTAACAATCTAGAAGGAAAATCTAGTGAACCTTTAATAGTGAAAAATAAGGATAATGGTATAAATTATAAATTATTTAAATCTAAGAAACCATATTGTACATATGCTTATGCGGTTTCACATGCTGGTGCCCTTAAGCTATTAGAAACAGTTGGTAAACCGACAACACTTCCACTTGACCAAGAACTTGTTAATATGATTCAAGCAGGAAAAATCAAGTCATATACTCTAATACCACCGATTATCGTACATTGGCAATTTCCTAATGAATCACCTGAATCATCAAAAGTTAAATCTTCAGATGAAACTTCTGATTTTTATACTTTGACAAACTCTACTATAAAATTTATAGGCTAAATTAAAAAAAATATAGAACTAGATAATTAATTTCATTTTAGATTTTTTTCGTTTATACTAATTTTTTTTTTTGTTTTCATATTCTTTGTAATACAAATAATTCATGTATTTATATTAGTTTCAAATAAAAACATTTGAGATAAGTGAATATATAATCTTTAATTAGTTTGTGAGGGATAATAATGTTTGAGAATATTTATGTATAATAAAGAAATAAAACAGAAAAAAATTTGCGTTGTTAAAAAACGCGACATTATTTATATAATGTAATTTATTAAATAGAAAAAGTATCACTATATTCAGATCCAAAAGTGAATTTAAGAGGGATTGTTGATTTTTCATTTCCGAAGAAACTTTATAAAAAATTTGATGGTTCTTTGTCACATGAAAGAAAGGTTGCACTAAAACATTTAGAAAATATACTAAATCATTAAAAGTAATTATAATATTATGATTTTTACAGGGTTGTATGCTTACAAAATTGATATTTTTATGAGATCACTTTAACGTTAACATTTACAAAAAAAAAACAAGATTTTCACGAACTTGATTTATGTTCATACATAAAAGTCCCAGCATTACCACCAATCTAGGACGCAGTCACATTGCATTTCAACCTTATAATTCTCTAGAAAAATTTGAATCCAAAAATTTTTATCAATCCTTTATTTTTTTAGAATATTATTTTTTTTTTTTAGAAGGAAAAGTTTTCTTAATTATTTTTAAGAGACGAAACTACTATTATTAGACCAGGATAAATAATTAAACATATTCTTAACAGAGATATCGAAAAGGTTATTGCAACACATTTTTATGTAATTACAATCAACTAAATTGTTATACAAAACAATTACAGTTCGATTTGATTGTGAATAATTTCAATTAATTGCAATTTTTACCTTTACCCTTACTATAAATCTCGCGATAATGTAAAATTTTAAGAACCTGAAAAAACTGATTACATTCAAATACAGAATTGCATCTAATTATATTCAATCTCAAAATTACATTGGCATTAACTGCAACCATACCTAAATGATTCATTAAACTTGTAGAACCTGTTTCTTTTTTTTGATTATCAGCTTGATCCGGAAGGACTTAAATTGCACTGATATTTGCCATCATTTGAAGGTCTAAAAAAGGCATCTTCAAAAGAATATACACTGATGATTACCATCACTTGGAAGTCTAAAAAGAGCATCTTTTTGATTATTGGCTGTGATCTGAAAGAACATAAATTACACTAATACCTGCCATCATTTGAAGGTCTAAAAAAGCATCTTTCTGATTATCCATTATGACCTGGAAGAACATAAATTACTCTAATGTCTACTGTCATTTGAAGGTTTAAAAAGACATCTATGTAACATTTGTTCAGAACTCTAGCATTCATTTAACCGGATTTTTTTAAAAAAAGATTTAGAATGCTATACCATATACATGTCTTTATTTGGTTGCTTTTTTAAAAAATTACAAGTTTTAACAACAAATATATTTATACCTATGTTTATTATTACATATTTTATCAGTTTTCAAACAACTACAAAAATTTCAATTAATTAACTCTCTGTGGCTACGCCACCAATCAATTAATTGCCCTCATAATCAATTATTCGGTAGGCCTAATACTAAGGAGAAACTTGATTAATAAATAATAATCTCGAACAATTTTAAAATGAACTGTAAACATGAATTAACTTGTTCAAATAATCTTGAATTATCAAGTATACAAAATCTACATGTTATAAACTCAATAATATAAAAATTTCAGAGTTCGTTTTATCCAAAGAAGCGCTATAGTAAGCTCATTCATGAACAGAAGTAACACATATAAATTATTAAAATGAAGCCAAAAAAGGTTGTAGAATTCTAAAAATATACTCACTAGTTAAATAATGAAAAGAACCAGTTTGTCCAAGGTTAAATAATTTTTATTAGTTTAATTATGCTAAAAAAAAGAAATAATCATTAAGATTTTTATTATTATATATGAACATGATTTAATATCAAGTTCACTATGTTACTATATCAAGTGAAATATACTGTAGTAAGTTTTAATTCTGATTAGTCAATTACTAAATATATTATCATAGATTATACTATATATAAGTTCAGACTTAACAATTACATAAAATGTTTTAATTTTTTAAATAGTTATAACTTTTTATTTAAAGGTTTTAAGAAACTTTAACTAATAGCTTTATAGAACTATATCAGCTCTACATATATGCCAAATATCTTAAAATATTATCATCGTAAAGAATTGATAATTTATATATAAATGTATAAATTTAAATATAAATTTTTTGCAGTAATAAGATTTTGAAAAGAAATTTAGTATATATGTAAAATAATATAGCTATATAAAACTACAGGTCAAATTTTTTAAACCTCTTAGATAAAAAATCATAAACATCTAAAAAATTGAAATACTTCGTGTAATTGTTGAGTATAAACTACCATCACCATATTATCTACAAATGACACAAAATTGAAGAATGACATGTAACAAGCATGCGTTTACAGCAAATATTAGTAATAATAATATCCCAGCTTATCGGCGATTACTTTCCTTATGTCTCTATAAGTCGTATGTTCGTAAGTATTAAAATATCTCAAAAAAATATGCTATTTAAAATTAACGCATTCTATTTATTTGTTTATTAACGATTAATTTTTTGCTGATTTATTCTGCTACTGCCAGTTAGTGCTCCGCAAAGTTTGAAATATCTGGTCAAGTCAAATTGATTTGATCAAGTATTCGTACTCAATGTAGTGATGAACAGTTCGTCGAGCAAGAATATTTGATCAAATTTGATTTGATCAAAAATTTGATTTGATCAAGTATTTGATTTGATCAAAAATTTGACTTAATCAAATATTTGGCTTGATCAAAAATTTGATTTGATCAAATATTTGATTTGATCAAATATTGAGTAATACGAATATGGTGGTGTATGGTTTAGTAAAGTAGTGGAGTATGATGCGTTAAATTAGCAAACACGTGAGTATGGTTGATAAGGTCACAACTGTGTATAAAGTAATTTATCTTGTATAGTACGCAAATGTATATAAAATTTATGCAAACGTGACGTTTGAAAACTAGAATTCAGGCTTTACAACTTTTAAATCGGGTCAGCAATTCTAGCGTTACCACTAATCGAGGGCATAGTCACATGATAATTGAAGCGCTAATGCAGTTATTCTTGCAATGAACGTTTTATAATGAACGCACTCTATGCTCTATAACAGTATAATGAAAAATATTTATTATAGTTCGGTATTCAATAATATAAGAACTGTCAATTCATTATACGAAAGCTACTTGCATACATTCGTTTGTTATTCATATGTCGACAAAAAATAAAGGAGGCCCATATATCGAAATACAAGAAAACATGATAAACAAACGATTACAACACATCACATTATAGTGAAGTTATCACTACAACTTATAGTGAAACAATAATAGGCTCAAAAATGCTAGTTTCGAAAATACTAGATGTACTTTATAATTCCGTAACTCAAAAATTTTTTTATATCAAGAATTCACTATAACAAAGGCAAGCTGTATTTCATATCAACTTATGCGAATAAGGTTTTTAAAAAATATGTTGCTATGTACGACATAAGATAAATATTAATATTTTAATATATCTAAATTTAAAGTTATTTTTTAACAAATAATCTTAAAAGCAAATATATAAAACTATTAAGAAGTTTATACATACTAATCCAATTTTAGATTATAAAATAATTTCAAAAAATAAACTATTAGATAATTAAAATAATGATAATAATAATAATTGTAATAAAAATAATTACTAAAAAAACTATTAAATATAAAAAATAATACAATTGCATAAAAAACATTGCTTGCAATCTACAATATTATAATTTATAATACAAATACTTTCAAAAAACAATTTTGAATTTTATATTTAAATTTATTTTTATTATTTTGAATTATTTTATTCTAAGTCTCATTGTATATATAATTAATAGTAGTTTTATAATGCAATAAAACTTTAGTAACTTTTTTAAAACTATTTAAAAAGTGTTAATATTTTTAATAGTTTCAACTAAATTATTTGTTTTTTTTTTTTATTAATATAATGTTCAAGTAGAAACCTTTTTACATATAAAATTATAAGTTCTAAAATTAAAGATTTCTAAACTATATTTGTGTTACAAGTAGGCACTCAATGTGACATTACACCTCCTATTTTCTATGAGTACTATAGTTAACTATTTCAAATTAGGTTCTAGTGTTAACCTATAATTTTTCTTTTAATTACAGTAATAACAGAAGCTGCTCAATTATAGTATAATGACTATAACTTGACAGATTTTATACAAAGTCTATATAAGACTTAATAAAATACAAAGTAATTTGAGATTTTAAGACAAAGGTAACAATAGATAGTATATGAAGATACTAAATATTGCATTCAGTTTATTCATTATGAAATGTATAAAAACACTTCTAAGTATATGAAGACACTTATATGAAGTATAGGAATACTTGTGTAAAGTATAGAAGTAGAGGCCTGCATCAGGTCCCATGGCTCAGGCCTAACAATAAAAATTTATAAATATGGACTGGGCCAGGCCAAAAAATTTTAAATATAGGCTAGACTAGACCAAAAAGATTATAAATGCGAGTCAAGCTAGGTTTAATAATAAAAATTTTAAATATAAATTGGGTTAAATTAAAAAATTTATGAATATACATTAAATAAATTTTTTTTTGGTATTAAGATGAGGCCTTGCTTATAAATTTATTAATAATTTTAACTATATATTTTAGTATAAAAGTACTGAAATAAACTAAAATTGTTTGTAACAAAATAAAAATTATATATGCGAATGAAAACTCAGACTAGTTTATCTGTAATCTAAACTAATATATTAAATAAAGTTTTTTTTTTTTTTTATATTAACGGTGAGGCCATGTCTTTAACTTTATTGAAATTCAATTGAAGTTTTTACAAAGAAAA